TGAAATTAGTTTTTTGTATATTATATTCAAAATAAAATTTAATGTATAATTTTAAAAAGACTTGATTTTATATAATGAAGTTTAAAAAAAGTTAGTTAAAAACAAGTTTGGTTATAAAAAATTAAAAATACATAGTAGTCATATATTTTTTGTCAATATATAAGATATTTTGTTAATCACAAAAAGACATGACATAAAAAGAAGATATGGTAATATTTAAAAGAACTTCAAATCTTACTTTTATATATACTCTTAACAAAATTTGATTCATAATTTTTTTTTATTAGATGTTTTGAAAAATGTTCAAAATAATTATAAAACATGCAAAAGAATGATAAAGGTTTAAAAAAGATCTAAAAATTTATGAATATAAAGCTAATTCTTTCTTTAGCAATGCATTTAATTTTTTAAAAAATGAACAACACTGGAGTGACTTGCGGAAGGTTGTTCTGAACGTTTCAATGAGGTTGGTTCAGGCACGCTTGTAAATTAACCGGTGCTTATACTCTCAATTATTGACCTCATAATATCGATAGATTTCAACGCTTAGCGTGTTTCTTCGGCTGGATGTTGCTCAGCAGGAAATTCGCTAGCTCAGATGACGATGTTAATGAAGTGAGCGAGAAAGAGAGTTTTTAGGAGGAGCATTGTTGTGATGGTGGTTGATACTGATGCGGTCATACACACGTCTTTATTGCTTCTGTGGAAATCCATAATTAAACCAGTATCTTATGTGTGTGTATATATATATATATATAGAACTACACATTATCAAAAAAATAGAGACAGATTAACTCAAATTTTAAATCACATACTGCAATCACTAGGATGCACCTCGAGTTTCACTTGCATTCTCTCAAAATAAAATAAAATGATTCATTTGATCCGACATATTTATAAATTTTGTTCAATGATATAACAATTAGTTGCAGTTTGGAAATTAAATTTTTGATTAAAACGTAGGACATAATTTATTGTCCTTTTGTGCTTTCTGCTTTAGAAAAGTGTATCTTCCTAATATTGCATGTTTTTAGGTTTATTAAAAAATAACCTAATTGAATTTTTCAATCCTTAAGTCTTGATTTAATTAAAGATATGACTCTCATAAATGACACTAATTTTTTAAAAATATGTTACATTTATAATTAAATATATGTAAAATAAGTAACAACTCTTAAGTTTCTTGGAAGAAATAATCTAATAAAAAAACATAAATCTTTGAATTTAAAAGTTAATTGTTTTAATAATAAATTACTTAAAAACTAAAAGTCATCTAATACTTGAATTGCAAGATAGTAGGATATCACAAAATATACTTTTAAGTTTTAAAAATAAGTTAATTTTTAACAAATAATGATAAAAAATTACTACTTTTTATAAATGTCAGTCTAATATATGTTTTGTTAAGAGTGGTAATATATGTTTTCTTCTTTAAGCTATTAATTTAGATGATTGTATTATTGTAAAAGACAATCTGGTCTCTATTTTATTTTCTAAACATTTATTTTATAAGTTTTGACTTAAGTAATAAGATATATATATATATATATATATATATATATATATATAAATTCTTAGTTCAATAATGTATTATAATTTACTTATTTATATTATTGTATTAAATTTTAAAAAATCCATTTAAAATATTTAATTTAGAGACATCATATGAAAAAAAATAATACAATATCTATATCATTTAAAGATAGTATAAATGTATCAAAATATGAATTTTTAACCATTCAAGAGGACAAATATCAATTATTGTATATTTCTTATTCTAACTTTTTGGATTGTTGAATCTACTTAATTATTTTTATCAAGCCAAAAAGTATTTTTACTAAATAATCTATTGCAATGTCTTTTTTGCCCAAGTTTTATCTACAATAAATTTTTTTTTTACTTTTTGGTCTAATAAGTCTGATAAAATCATGTAACTTACAAGAACAAATGCAATTATAATAAAGATAAAAATATATTATTTTAAAATTTTGAACTAATATTTATTAAAAATTTTATTTTAGCTTTTATTGATAAATTTATTGTATATATATATATATATATACATAAAACTTTATTAGATTATACATTCAAAGAATATTATTTCAAAAAATAATTAAGAAATAGTCTATTTTATAATTTATTATCTTAGAAAAAACTATGAAAACAAAAGGTAATTATAAAAGTTATAACTAAGAAAGCCTTAAAATCTTAAATATTTTAAAATTATATTTTTATAATCTAATATAAAATTATTTTTATTTACAGTTTTTATAAATATTAAGAATTTTAAGTGTTATTTTTTGATGACTATCTTAAATTAATATTAAAATTGTTGTTATATATATTTGCTTCAATTTATATTCAATATTATAAATCTAACCTTAATATTTAAATCTAATCTTAATATTTTTATTATGTTTGATTTTTATTAATATTATAAAGTTTTGTACACAAGTTTTAATCATTGTGATGTAATAGCTAGGTTAGAAGTTACTATTTATATTTTGATACAAATATATATATATATATATATATATATATATACATGTAGAGTATTGCCAATGCTACCACAATTCTCTATCTATTCAAAATAAAAAAATATATACATATTTTTTAATTTTTTTATTCTATATAATTTGAAAAAAATCAAATCAAATCAAATATCAACCATTTTTTTGTTTGAATTTTTAAAAAATTAACAAAATAATATGAGAGGATGGTGGATTATGGTGAGAATGGTAAAAATTGTGGTGGCATCAGCAACTCTCTATGTGTGTATACATATACATATATAGAAAGAGAGAGCATCAAAGATCCTAGTAGAAGGTACAATATTAGTAAGAAATATAGAGCATATATAAAAAAGAAAAGTTTCTCCCAATATAGAGATGAAATTAGAGGTTATCAAATTTTATTTTTTGTTATACAAAGACATGAAACCATTTCTCTAATTAATAAGTATGTTATAAAAACTACCTTAGATTCTAATATCTAACACTTATGAAGCAAGCATAAGAAGAAGAAATAAAAATAAAAATTGAAAGAAACATTGATACAACTTAGTCACATCTAGTTCAAGAATAACAAAATTACTATACAAAACCCTAGAATTCCATCTAATATTTTGTCTTTCTTAATTTCTAAAATGCTATTAGCCATCTACAGCTTTTTTCATTCGTTGATGAATGTGACTTAAATCTTGATTTCCCAAAATTTTGAAATTTCTTTTTCCTTTTTCTTTTTTGTCTGTTTTATGCAGTCTTCCAACAATCAATTAATTTGTCACATTAGAATTTTTCCAAACATCAACCAGTTCGTGTTGTCTTTTTAAAGAATTATAACATTCCACTTGATCCATGTGTTCCATAACCACGTCTTCTTTAATAGTACTCACATGGCTTTGAGTCTTTTAAACCAATCAGAGAGTTTTAATGCAAAAAAAAGGTGAGTTGCCACAAGGAACTTATGACACGGCCCTTAATGCCTCGAATTGGAGACCATCTTGTACACAAGTGAGATTGCTCAATTCCAAAACTTGTGTACGATGAATATATGCAGTTTGGAGAAGACTTGGGCATGATAATATTGATTTTAGAACTCCATTCATTAACAGCCCACATCTTTATGCATAAGTCAACTAGATTAGCATGGCTTTTTCTTTTGGAGCTCTCCAGGTGGTGGACAATATTTTTCAAAGCCTTGAATTGGGGGAGGTGATATACCCCGATTGAATCGTTTTGGAGAGATCCTTAAAATGATCAAATTGTGTTGAAGGAGTCCAAGTCTGCTATGCATATATTCTTCTTCTGCTGCTGCTGCTGATGTTTCATCGCCACTTCACAGCAACTACGTGGATGTCAGAAGTGATCAGTCATGGGCACAGGGATTGAGAGAAAAGGGTGGCAAATGCGCGATACAATTACACAATAGCAGCGCAGGCGACTCAACGGGGAGAGAGAGAGAGAGAGAGAGAGAGAGGCTGACACAAACAGACACAGGTGCAAATGGAAGTTGGTGGAACTCGGGGGTCCCAGGCAGGATTGATTGTGTCAGCTGGAGGGGTCCAGACACAGACACAGACGGAGATGCAGATTTTGAAGTGGTTCAATGCTAGTGGAAGGCAAATTCTTTCCTATGTTAAACTATAGCTTGAACTGAATTGTAGTAGGCAACAGCGTCGTGTCCCTGCATTGCATTGTGTGTCAGTGAGGAGACTGACAACGAAGGTGGAAGGAGTCTGCTTTCAATTCGCTTGAGGGAGAGACAGTATTGCGAAGGTAACTCTAGGACACAGCCGTTGCAGCAGCACTGACATCATGGTACTCCCCCAACTGCCATAATTCTGGGATAAAAGAACTCGTAAGTCAGTTTTGTCATGCATGACCAGATTCGCATCCTGCACAATGCCTGCCACCAATTCCTATTGGCACCAATATTCCTGCCCACCTGCAAAAACCCTAACTTACAGCCTGACTCCTCTAGATTCAGTCCATTGTGACCTAGCTAACTTGTATTGGCTCTTGCTACAGCCTGCATCAGATCTCCAATTTCTAAAGCCGATGGTGTCGTTTATCGTCTCTCAACTGCCCAATCGTTCCTTGGGCAGGAGTCTTATCGTCTGCGATCATAGCTGCTGCTGCAGGCATGGTGAATTGAGCAGAGCATATGGTGGAGTGCGTTTTGTCCTGCTACTGCAAGTTACCGATCGTGCGATAGAGTTCAGCATAAGTATTAACTGGACATGTCAACGGCCTACGTCGTATTCAAACCGTAGCCATGTAGAATTTGGTCGGTTATGATAAATGTGCTTTTGTTAGCAGGGAGTAGTTTGCAGTCGATTGCCCAGACGCCTGACGATACCAGTCGAAGTAGTCTGGCCCTAGCATGAGAGTTTATTCGGCTTATAACTAGATCATGTCAGACCTAGGACATGGGAATTAGCGAAAGATTTTGACGTTGAACGTTCAAGTCAGTCATTTTGCATCACGGTTTGACCTTTACATCGGCATACCACATCGACAAATAGCCTGCGAAACCATCATGTCCCAAAGCTATCCTGTCATTGCCATGCTAGCTAAGCTTATATGAAAAGGCAAGGTACAGTGGTGAGATTCGGATGTGGGAGCCAGCGAGAAGGAATCACACCGTACGAGTATAGCCAGTATCTGAAATTACACTTGGGTATCAGAGGTTATCCGTCAGATTGTTGCAGATTTGCAGTACTACCACTCCAAGCCGCTCAGGAGGTGCGGAGTTTGAAAGTAAGGTCATCATAACTGGATTTACAAATGCTCTGCTCCCACGATGTGATATTCGTGTGAAGCAACTGTATTCCATTTAGTTATCAGCTTGCACCACCCCTCTGTCGCCACTGCTCACAGTGCTGGTCGGAATGCTGCAGTCTCTGCAAGAGCAAAAGTTTCCGTAGCTGTATAATTCGGAGGAAAACCCGGTAGCGCTCTGCAAGTTACGCTGGTGGAATTTGACGCATGAGCTCGGAACTGAACGCTCAGCTGCAGCGGAGCTTGAAAGGGCGATCAAAGACTGGAAAGCTATGAAGCTTTTTCACTTCATATCGTTTTTGTCGTGTTTGGCGGCATGTATTCCTCTCTCAGGTATGTGTTAAACTTGGCATTCAATCTTAGGCTTCGTGATTCCAACGGGTCCATAACGTGGTGGAGTAGGTGCAGCCTCACTCAAGGAGTATGTCGAAGTCAGGTCGTTGGGTGAGGGTTTTCAAGGGCAATGAGGTGTTGGAAGAACGTCGAGGTATTAGCCAAGGTTCACAACGACTATAGCCTGGCCTACCCTTGCTGGAGACACTCTTTGACCCCAAAGTTCATAGAAGCATTCGGACTCTTTGAACAATTAATACTTGTGTGTTGAGGTCTGCAGGAGCTGGGACTATAGGCGTAAATTATGGCGTGCTAGGAAATAATCTGCCGACGCCTGCTGCTACCACTAAACTCATTCTGTCCACAACTATTCGTAATGTCAAGCTGTACAATACCGATCCTGCGACACTGCAGTCGTTCGCTAACACTGGCATCAAGGTAATTGTCTCCGCCGGGAATGACAATATCCCCCTGCTCGCAAGCTCCCTTGCTTCCTCGCAATCCTGGGTTCAGACCAATGTTGCAGCGTACATGCCAGCCACGCAGATAATAGCCATTGCGCTGGGAAACGAGGTCCTGATGACCAACCCCGAGCTTGCGGGCCAACTTGTGACTGCGCTAGTCAATGTGCATACATCACTGGTGAATCTGAAGCTCGACGCCACAGTGAAAGTGTCAAGCCCACAATCCCTCGGAGTTTTGTCAAAGAGTTACCCGCCCTCTCAGGGAGTTTTCAAGGTACGAATAAGCTCCTCAATGCAACCTCCGTCTCATATTTTTCAATTTCATTCAGAGATGTAGCCGTCAATTTGAGAGATTAAGGTTTCTAGACATAGACTGATTCTCTGGATATATGTCGCGTTTGTACCCTAATGTCTGACAGGAAAACTTCACCTCAACGTTCAAGGACCTGCTCAGCTTCCACCAGCAGACGATGTCACCATTGATGGTGAATGCATACCCATACTTCGCATACACCGCTACTCCTAACAATGTCTCCGTGAACTACGCCTTATTCCAAACCAACGCAGGTGAGCTGTACCCCACTATATTCTTCTTCATATGCGGTCAAAACTTAGGTGATTCGCAATTAAAAAAAGAAGAAAGAAGCATATCTGCCTACTCCCAGCTGCAAATCAATTTGTTTCTTCTGGTGTGTGCTTGGAATGGCAGGTGTAACTGATCTGAACACGGGACTGCATTATGGCAACATCCTCGACGCGCAGCTTGACGCTGTGTACTCGGCCATGGCAAGTCTCGGATACACCGATGTAAACCTTTTGGTGTCCGAAACCGGGTGGCCATCTGGAGGAGGTCCTGATGAAATTGGGGCTAGCGTCCCTTTCGCACAATTGTACAACGAAAACCTTATACAGCACATCACTTTGAACACCGGCACACCGTTGAGACCTAATGCCTCTATTGACACTTACATTTTTGCCCTATACAACGAGAACTTGAAACCTGGAGCAGGTAATCGTTAATGGGCTCCAAGCATGATGCGTACAAGTCTACAGTTAACTTGGATGGAATGCTACAACTTAAGCTGATCATTCACTCACTACCTATTATGTTTAACGCCCTAAAGTTTTTGACAATTTTGAATCACAGTCAATATCTCGTTGAATAGATTGCGTCAATTCAAAACGTCAATTAGCCTGCTTACAACGGAAATGATGTGGTGCGGAGATGCTTGCAGTTTCAGAGCGATTCTATGGATTGTTCAACGTAGATCAGAGCCCGGTGTACAATGTGGGGCTGACGGGAGGCTCGACACGGAACCCACCTCCGGCGGCCCCTTCGCCCGTCGGAGGCGTGGCTTCTCCACCTCTGCAAACACCAAGCATGCCCCTTCCTCCCAACTCTCAGCCTTTGCCTCCTTTAGCGTCTGCCCCGCCTCCCCTATCTGTCCCCAGCTCTCCTGCACCTCCTGCGGCACCAAGCACTAGCCCCCAAGGTGCCGATTTCATTTCCCCGAATGTCTGCGTGTGATTTTGTGGTGAAAGATAAATAGATTCTATCACCAGGACTGATTAGTGCAATGTTGTTTTCGCAAGTCAGCATTGAATACATTAGAAGTTTCGTTTCCGATTAAAGCAGTAGTAATGTCATGTGTGTATGAGTCTCAAAAACATGTCGAACCAATCAGCTGGACTATGATTTACCTGTGGTAGATGTGTATTGGCAAGACTAAGCGAGAGGGAGAGTTTACCATTGCAGGGAAGACTTGGTGTGTAGCAAAGGCAGGAGCTCCAGAGCAGGACATGCTGAATGCACTCAACTACGCATGTGGCGTGGGAACAACGGACTGCTCCGCCATACAGCCCGGTGCCATGTGTTACTTTCCCAACACTTTAGTAGCACATGCGTCCTTTGCCTTCAACGAGTATTATCACAAATTTGGAGCCAACTATTACAATTGCTACTTCAACGGCACCGCCATCATCAGTAACAGCGATCCAAGTGAGTGAATTTATAACTCTTCATATTCTTGGCCATGTGTTGTTAGGTTCTTCACAATGGGCACAATTATGTCGACATCACCAGTAGAGCCGTTTCTTATTATCTTCAAATCGTATAAATGAACAGTAAGGGTGTATGGCCGGTGTGTGGTGTAGGCTACGCAGGGTGTACCTTCGCCTGAGGATTAACAGAAGTTCGGAGCTCAAAACCATGGTTTCAAATCTTAGAAGTTATATTTTAGGATGCAGAAAGAAGTGAGATTGAAGAAGAGTGACAGATTTTTTGCCAGGGGGGCAACTTGCGAATGAGAAACCACTAAGATAAATTCTTCGTAGCATTACAGCAAATAGGCTGCGGAGTCTGCAACTCTTAGTGAAGTGTTATTGCTTCCATAGCCAAGAGGAGGAATTCCAATTCTTCCACACAACTACAGACCTCGCGGGAGACCATCAATTTGGTGGAAAATACGGTACTCCTGACCAGGTCATTTTTGCCCAGTTAGTACTTTTAGTACTCTTGTTAAGTGCATAATACTATTGCAGTAAAACTTTCCGACTCCATTGTATAGTCCCCCTTGTGCATCATGAGAAATTTACCTCACCGATTGGACACCTGGATGTGATTAGAAGAAGACGATGATCAATCGAAAGCATCAAATGAGAACTCAGTTGATGAGAGATATAGCAGAAAACTTAATCCAATCTACGATGAGAAATTTACCCAGTTCACGTTGTGCACTACAGATCTCTCAAATGCTTACCTCGAAATTCTGTACCTCCCACTTTGATGTTGGTTGTTACACGAGACAGTGTACGCAATTGTCCTTGCAATATGCTGCTGACAATTTGGACCCGCCGAGACACCAAGTACCAGATACCTCTGCTACAGTAAAGGCTTTCACCCTTTGCAATCTGGAGAAGACGTGGGCTACGCTTTCCCAAACTGGTGTGTCGCCTATGGCGGTTGCATGATATGGCCTGAGAGTTGAGTGAGATAGGGCCAAGTGTCTTAGAAAACTTGTTGAGAGCATTAAATGTAGCTGGCACTCTCCATAATATTTATTGTAGACTATAGTAAATATTGTAGCTATAGTATTTAGAGTCTAGTGGAGAAGAATTGTTTATCTTCTCTCCTTTTTCTTCTTATACACTAGACACAACCACATCAATAGATTTTTATGTATGAAGCTCTCTCTCCTTAGAAACTCTCTTGTATGTATGACTTACTACTATTCTTGTGTGTGTGTATTACTTACTATTATTCTTGTGTCTTTCTAAACATTCTCAACACGTTATCAGCACGACTCTCTTCTACACACTATCACAATTTTTTTTGCTCTAGTTCTTAACTCTTCAAACTTATTGCTACTTTTGCTCAGTGTCTACCTCATGATCTTGCTGCTCTTCTTGCTGGCCCCTTACACATTAGCTGCTTGCTTAGAGCACTTCTTCCACTCTCTACTCTACTTGCTTAGAATACTTGCTTAGAATACTTGCTTAGAATACTTGCTTAGAATACTTGATCTAGCCCAGCTCCACCCCAACTTGCTCCTTGCTACACTCCGCATCTGTCGTTGAACAGTCGCCAAATAGCTACCAAACTATCGTTGACCCCACCACTGCCACCCTGCCGCCCACCCTACTACCACTACCACTACCACCCGCCGCTACCATTGCCTACTGGCACCGTCCTATTGCTGTTCTGCTGCCTTAATCCACAACCTCTTTAAAATAATAATAATAATAATAATAATAATATTTTTTCAAATTCTAATTTATCATTTTATTTGACTTTATATTTTAAAGTACATTTTGCTCAACTTTTCTACTTGATCTTATATTTTCTTTACAGATTTATTTATAATGAATGCTTCAACATCTTCAACTACTTCTACTATGGTTCCAACTATTACTAGTGTATCCCAACATTTTTAAGCTCTTTTATTTCTATCATTGATTGTGGATAGAAACAATTATCTATTATGGGCAAAAATAGCAAAAGCAAATTTATTTGTAGAACAACTCTCGGATACCATTATGTTTGAAGAATCTCCTATAATAAGTATTTCTATTCCTCTTGCTATTCATTGGAAAGCACTTCTTTTCCTTTGTCATCATCTTGTACCTGCATTACAACATCAATATTTGGAAATGGAAGATCCTGTAGAACTTTTGAAGAATCTTAAATCTAGGTTTGATCATCAAAAGACCATTTTTCTTCCACGTGTCATAATTGGACACATTTATATATCTTGGATTTTTCAAATTTAAATGCTTTCAATAGTAAAATGTATAGTATTGTCTCACAATTATGATTATATGCACAATGCATCTCTACAGAAGAAATGATTGAAAAAACTCTCTGTATATTTCCTCATATATCTGCTGAGCTTGCACAACAATACAGGAACATGAAATTTCAAAGTCATTCTAATCTCATGTCCTATCTACTTCTTGCAGAGAAGCAAAATGAGCTACTCTTGTACAATGCGGAAGCTCGTCCTATTGAAACTATAGTTCTAGAATCTCATGCACTTAATATTTCAAAGTCTAAGAAAAAATTATATAAACATGGGAAACATGCTCATAAGTATCAAGGTAGTCATAGTCATGACCATTTCTACCCATATGGAAAGAATAAACGTTTTACTATTAATTATAGTAGAAAACAAAAATCAAAGATGCGTTCTTGCCATAAGTATGGAATAATTGGACATTTAGCACATGCATGCTGTATTTCTGAATATTTTATTAAAATATTCTAAGAAAATAAGAAACTACAAGTTAAGGCTCATGAAGTTCAAACCATGGATGCGTCGATGGATTCAATTGGTGTTGATGACTTAGAGGCTTATATGAATGACAAAATCTCTAATGATGAATCAAATGATGCTCTCATTGATTTTGTAACAACACATACTATCTTGTGAGATAGACGATTTTTTATTGAAAAATCTTCAACTTAGCAAACTACAAATATGATGACCATGGCTAGAGCAAATGCGTTTTGTTTCCAAGAAGGCACAACGATGGTAAAATTACCTGCGGGTTCTATCATAAAATGTAAACATGTGATGTTTATACCATCACTACTTCGGAGTCTAATTAGCTACCGAGATATGCATATTAATGGTTATCACCTCTCGATTGCTATTTTAAATAAAAAAGAGGTTTTGGTTCTTGCAAAGAACCATAAAGTTGTTGAAAAAGCTTTTGCTACAAAAAATGGTTTATACTAAATTGTGATTCAACCTCCTATAATATTTAATTTTACATCATCTATTATAGAGAGTCGTATTTCTCTCTGGCATGGACGATTGGGACATCCAAGATCTACATTATTTTAAAAGATCATTCCATGTCTAACTAGGCATAATTTAAAACCTGTAGATGTAGACTCTATGGAATTATGTCATGCATGCGTGTAAGGTAAAATGATTACTCCACCTTCAATTTAGAAACTCCCACAAGAATTACCACCAATGCTTGAAAGATTGCATGGTGATATTTGTGGTCCTATTAATCCAATATTGGGACCATTTCGTTATTTTTTGGTCCTTATTGATGCATCAGGTAAACAATCACATGTTTCATTATTATTAACTTGAAACATGATGTTTGCCAATCTTATATCTATGCTTATTCATTTTTGAGCACATTTTCTTGATTATCCTATTAAAAACATTACATATGGATAATACAAAAGAATTTGCATCAAAATCTTTTGAAGACCATTGTATTGCAATAAGAATTGAGTTGATATATTGTGTTCCATATGAACATGTTCAAAATAGACTTGTAGAGTCATTTATTAAGCATATACAATTCATTATCCTGTCACTCCTCCTTCATGCAAATTAACCTGCATCTATGTGGGGTCATGCAGTTTTACATGCTGCAGCATTAATACGCCTCTACCCTTCTTCTCTTGAAATTGTTTCACCACATGAGCTCATTTCGGATTGTGTTGCAAATGTATTTTACTTACGAATATTTGGTTGCCATGCTTGGATTCGAATACCAGAACCTCAACGACATACAATTGGAGTTCATCGACAAGAAGGCATATATATTGGTTTTGATTCATCAAGCATTATTCCTATTGTTGATCCATCAACTGGCTCATTATTACGTGCACGTTTGCAAAATTTTTGTTTTGAAGAAAACATATTCCCATCTCTTCAAGGAGGAGTATCCAATCAAGAAAGAAATAAAGTTCTCATATTTGAAGCACAAGAAACATTTACAATGAATCTTGATCTTAAGACATCTTTGGCAAAAACTGAAGTTGCTAAGATTTTACATCTAAAATAAATCGCAGATGAAACACATGATGGCTTCAATGATGCACCTAGAATTACAAGAATTCCTATTGATGAGGCTTAGAATGAACTTGCTTAGATTGCAATGCCATTGACTACAATACCTCAAATTATAACAACAACTAAAAAAACTCATGGACTAGATAAGCAACCACGTAAGAAAAAAGCTATAATATTGACTAATCCTAGTATTATTTCTCAAGAAATTATCACTCATCCTACGGGACTACCAATTCATGATGATATATCCATGCATAATGTACCTTCAATTCCTATGAAAAACAATCTTGGAATTGGAAGGAATAAGAACAAGTTGAGTAAAGAATTATCTATTTTGTATTGTGCTATAGATGATATTTGGAACAAACCATCTATTACGGTAGATGAATCATTTGCATATATGATTATAGAAGCATTTTCTTGCAAGGAAGATGATCTTGAACCTCAAACCATCGAAGAGGCGATACGTCGCTCTGATTGGTCAAAATAGAAAACTGCTATTGAAGAGGAGTATGCTTCTTTGAGTAAGACAAAAGTCTTTGGTCCAATTGTAGACACTCTTACATCTCACCTTGTGGGATATAAGATGGTATTAATATATAAGTGAGATGCTCAAGGCCAAATAATCTGCTATAAAGCTCGACTTGTTGCTTAAGGATTTACTCAACGATTTGGCATTGATTATGAATCCACATATTCTCTAGTCATGGATTCAATTACATTTCAATATATTATTGGAATAATAGTTCATGCCACCCTTGAGATGCATCTGATGGATGTAATAATTGCATATTTATATGGTTCTCTTGATACAAATATTTATATGAAAGTTCCACCTGGCTTAGAAATAGGAATTCCAAATAGACCCACTCTAGGACAATATTGTGGTATTAAATTATGTAAGGCCTTATATGGTTTAAAAGAATCTGGATGCATGTGGTATTAATGTCTTTAAGATTATTTAATTACAAATAAGTTTGTAAGTGATCCACTAATCCCTTGTTTGTTTATCAAATGAGATAAAATTGGTTTTGTGATCATTGCTATATATGTTGATGTTCTTAACCTAGTGGATACTACATCTACATGTGTTATAGCTACTAACCTATTTATACATGAATTTGAGATGAAAATACTAAGAAAAATAACTTTCTGTATTGGTCCTCACATTATGTATCTAACAGATGGTAGCATTTTTTTCTATCAACTAACGAATATTAGATGAATCTTGCAAAGATTTAATATGATT